ATGAGGGCCAGTGATGCTGCGCCCTCTACAGATAAGATGGTGAACAACAGCTCAACCTGGAGCTGGGCTGCCGTGAGTTGCTGGCGACGGCGTAGGCTGCAGCCCCTGCTGCAGTGGGCTCCATACCATGAGTGGCCAGCAGCCAGCGTGAGTGGCCAGCAGCTGGTGTGAGCTGCCGTGAGCCACTGTGAGCGGCCATTCAGAGGCCGGTGACCGATCTGCCTCACCCAGGAAGATCGCAATGATAATACCAACATAGGCCAGTGAAGCAACATCCTCCACAACCAGAATGAAGACCTAAAGGACAGCAACTTGTCTGTTCCCCTTACCCTGATTCCCCAGCACTGTTCCCCTCCCCCAATACCCCAATAAAATCTTTAAAAAAAAAAAAAAGAATGCATGGAATAAGCAGCCTGGTTATACCTAGCAGCACAAATGCCTGGTGGAGTGTGCAGTGAACATGTGAAGGCCACTAGGGCAGAGGTGAGGCACGACCCAGCTGCCACGATCTCTACCTTGGAGAGGGCTTCCGGGCCCTGTAACTGCCTGTGACTTGGTGCCTCAGCATGATAAGGATTCAGCAGCATGACAATCCCCCAGGAACAAGGCCATTAAGAGTGAAAAGAAGTTTTTGAGGGCTTTTTGGAGGAAGTATTAGAAACAGGTTAGAAGCAGGGTACCTCAGGAGTGAGCCTAGCCTCGGTCTGTGTCTTATGGGAGGGCGCTGTCAGACTTGGGCTTCTCATGGCCTCTTGAGTCAGGGATGTCATCCAGGACCTACCATAGGGGATGACTGGCATGAACCCTGACACTGATCCAGAAACTGCACAACAAATGGGAAAGTTTATGTGCCAGATTCTAGCAAAGCCACTCAACACCCCACCCCTATCTTTAACCCTATGAGAGAAGCTGTCAGAGATGGACTATACTGCCCAAATGCTAGGCATTTCAGGAGGACCATTTCTGAAAGGGAGTGATATGCTTCCCCAAACGAAAGTAAACAAGAAGGCAATGAAGAGGATTTTGGGGGGTGGGGGTTGGCAGTCCCTGGGGTGTGTAAGTTGGAAAAAGGAAGCAATGTCTAAGGAGGAGTTTCAGGAATCCACTATGAGACACCTTGGATAGGAACTTCCACAGACTCTTGAGGCCCTTCCGCCCCCCCCCCCCCAGCAAAGCTCTGCACCATTTACATTCACTATAGGTCTTGGAGTCCAGATGAGGAGACTGACCACCCAGCCATGCTGTGCACCTAACCCTCAGACAGGCAGTGATAGGTGATCATGGCTGCTCCTACTCTCCACGTCACTCAGTGAGGTCCAAGTCCTAGGGAGCCTCTGAGAAACCATCCAGAGACCAACTCTCCTGCTTGCCCTTCCACTCTGTCCATGTGGGGCCCCAATCCATACAGGGTTGAGCAGAAACCTCCTCCACCTCACAGTATTGAGTGCCCAATGGCTGATGCTCTGTGAATATGGACACCCTCCCTCCCACCACTGCTACATATGCCACTCACATTTCTCTGCCAGCTCAACAGACAGCAGCACATCCAAGTTCCACCCTAAAGTGTGCCCCCTTTCCTTGGACTACCCTAGGTTTGTACCTCTCAAGCAGCCCTCCTCCTTGGGGGTGTTAGAGACCCCACAGACAGATCTCATCCCACAGTCTGTTAGCCTCTCAAGGACAAAGCCCTTATCAGAACTTGGCCAAGAGGGCACACAGGGTTTCCTCAGGGTCTGTAGAAGCAAACAGTGCTGCCCTGACGTAGAGAGACACGAAGTGTCCAGGAGAGCCAGAGGGTGGTGGGCGGGGCCCTGGCCAAGCCATGGCACCTGCAAAGGTTGTTCAAGGACATCCCTAGAGGACAATGGTTGAGAGTAGAGAGAAGACCAGGAAGGGCCCCAAGTGAAGTGCCCTCACAATTCCAGTACCCTAGGTACTTCACCCCCCTCCTTGTTGTTCAGCCACTACCCCAGCCATCCTAGCTGGCTGCTTCTTTTCCAGGAATCTGGGGAAACAAAGCTCCTTGCAAAGGAGGAGGGGAGGGGACTATGCAGATAGGGAGATGGCCTGGGAAGAGAGGGCAGCCAGAGAAGGCTTGAGTGTCCTGGGGAAGCAGTGACACCGGGAAGAACAAAACAAGGCACCTTGCTTCAAGACTCAAGTCAGGGGGCACCGCTTCCAGACAGCCTTCCTGGCCTCCACTAATGAGGTTGGGTACCTTTCTGTTCCCACTCCCATACTTGGTGCTACCCGCTGTCATCCTGGGTCTGTGTCCCTGACCCAGGCCTGTTCAGGCCCAGTGCTCCCCATCAGTGCTCGCAGTTGGGAGTACTCCCCATACCGAGGGGGCGGGGCCGCAGGTTTGCCTACCAGGACTTTGAGGAGGTTTCACAGCAAGGCGCAGCCCCATCCCCCATCTGGGGAGCCCCCCGCTTCCCTCTTCGGGCCGGGGCGCCGCCTGGTAGGAGCGACTTCAAAGGGTCTGTGCGCGAGCTTCCAAGGCCGGACTCGGGTGCACCGCCCGGAGAGCGCAGGCCGGGGCAGGATCCCGGCCGTCGGGGCCGTCCCATTCCGGGGGTCTCCGAGAACCCGGAGGGGTTGCCAGGAGGCGGGAGGCCGGGGCTGAGGGGCGGGTCCTGAGAGCCCCCCGAAGTGGGAGGGTCGGGCGGGCCGCGGGGCCAATCCGAGC